CTACTACTACTAGCACTACTACTATTCTTCTACTACTGCTTTACTATTACTAGTATGACTAATGATAATAATAGTAGTACAAATAATTGCAAAACAAATACAGAGAATACGAATAATAATTTGAGTTGAAGCCGTAAAGCTTCCTTTGCAGGCCCAGCAGGTGAGCGAGTGGAGGTCGGCTGGCAGGTGGAGTGGTCATCAGACCGCTCCTACACGAAGCCTGTCTTATGTGGAGTTTTTGGGGCTTCGAAAAATGGGGCTTCGGATGGCAGGGCATGGGGCAGGTAGATTGATGGCAAGTACAGCAGTCGCTGTGGTTTCCTTCGGAGTGTCTTCAAGCAGCCGAGTTTTTCGAGAACACGCACAGGTCGGAGTCTCACTGCTGTAGTGTCGTTTGGTCATTTCTGGATCGTGGCTGTAAAGCAAACTGGTTCTCCTGTGCAACTTTCTTCTTGTCGGCTGCAGCTGCTCCTCTTCGAGGTAAAGCACAGCGTGTACTACTTGGAGTCATTGGAGTGAATGCCATGTCACAAGGATGTCTTTCCACAGCCAAGCGTTCCTGCTGAGGATGGCTGGATGGGAAATCTGCATCCGTGTCCCAGAGCCTCGGATGCAAGATGGAGATTCAGCGCGGCTTACACCACCAGCCGTTCTGCGCCGATGCTTCGCAAATCCCATGGTCGGCCCTGTATGTACACGCGGAACCCTTACATTCACATAGAAGGCTTTCGGGTGAAAATTCAGGTTTTCCGGCGTTCTGCTGATCAGTTCCAGTATACATACTTTACCTTGCCATGCAATGTAGATGCCATGTCTAGCACTCATCGTCGCCTTGAAAGACAAGCCTCGAGGAGCAGACCACGAGCACCACGGTTTCATCAACGAGCCTCACCGAGACGCTCCTTGTCGTTTTTATATATTCTTGGGGGGTGTTCCAGGAAGCAGCCACTTTGCGCAAAATCACAGCTGCAGCTCATGGCTCTGACGACTGACCAGATTTATGCCACTTAGCCTGGAAACAATTACAGCTTTTTTCCATTCCCAGCTCAACCGTGTTTTATGTAAGGCTCTCGTCCACATCTACAGTGTCAACATCGGCGACGACCAGGATCGGCCAAGGCGGTAATGACTCTAGACTCTAGCAGTCCAGCACGCTGCGTGATGCAGAGTGCATGAGCTCACCCCTGCCATAAGCACTCACCATACAAGTCCATTGCAGATGACACGGGATTTGACGGATGTGAAGCTGAAGCTGAAGACAGAAGCGAGCGACGCGCAGGACCCGTACCTCTACAACAACCACAGTGTCGCGGCCTCAGCCTTTGACGCCGAAGGGAGCGGCCAGTTTCGTTCGCCTTCGCGTGACCTTGCCGGCCTCAGTATCATTAGGTTTCATGTGTCATCGCCATCACATTGACGAGCCGATGGTCGTACCCTTATCGTAGATTCCGCCACCAGCTCGCTAGCATGACAGCCGCCGTAGTCAGGATCTTCACTTACTCTTCTTGTTTTCCACCTCCTCCTTGCGGAACGGTTCTCCGGCTTGACACTCGTGACTAGACCAGTTTATTAAGTAGACATGGAATAATCAATCAGCCGGGCTTGTTGGGTTACTGTACACTTACATTATAATTAGTGACACTTGGACTGCGGGCTGTAGTAATCTGCTTGACTAGTTGTCCAGGCTTGCCAACCGGCCCCTCCTTACTTCTCATCATCTTCGCAAAAACACCACCGCAACAGGCACGATCAGGATCATCCTCATGAGCCCTATATACCTCAAGCATCCTCAAGCCTTAACCAGAAAGCCTGAAAGCCTACGACCCCTTAGCATTACCTCAAAAGCGATCATGTTGGCAGCGCTGAAAAGTCCTCCAAGGATTTTCCGCCTTTTGGAGGGGAAGTTGGTCTTGGCTGTTGGGGATGCCGCAACCGCCGCTGAGGCCTTCAAAGGGGGACCCTACTATAGCACCCTACAGTACCCTTAGCAAGACCCCCAGAATAATCTAGAAAGTAGATCCCCTAACTACTAAAGGGTACTTTATAGGAGCCCCCTCGAGGGATCCACCTTCGCAGCCTTGGGTTGGGTTGGGGGTTGAGGCTTTCTGGGATGAGAGGGCCCCCGATTTCAACACCCGCTCGTTGAGTTTTGTGGTTATTTCGGCACCCCACGCCAACAAGCCCCCTTTTTTCAGAGCCTGGATGTTCCAAATTGGGGCTTGGCTTGGGCGGGTATATTCTACTTCTTCCTACCGTCAGGAACCTGGCGCATTGCGAAACACTACGATTGCTGATAGAAATCCTGCATGACCCATAATAAGGAATATACCACAATTCCCATGGCTTAGGGTCCTTAAGGCAGTGCAGGATTTATATCATCAATCGTATGTCGGTATCTGTTCACTCAACAAGATGGGAGGACCTCGCCACGGCGCCGGGGCGCGCAGCCCTTTCTGCAGCCTTGGCCGCGACCTTCGGAGTGCAGCAGGCCGCAGCTAAAAAGCTCCAACCCCAAACCCTACAGGTCCCTAAACCTAAACCCTTGGTGTACTTGGGAAGAGGGTCATGTCGAAGATGGTTTAGGCTTTCGGGAGACCTCTGTGAGGGGCACGTGGAAACGCCGTTGAAGGCACGTAGATTGCAGCCTTGGGGAGGGCTGAAGCGAGTTTGGGGTGAAGGTGTGAGTTGCGATTTGCGGAAAGCAAGTTGGGCCTTCAGCTAACCCCTGAACTTTGGCCCTAAACCCCTAAACCCCCAAAACCTCTAAACCCCTAAACCCCCTAAACCTCTAAACCCCTTAACCCCCTAAACCCCCTAAACCCCCTAAACCCCCTAAACCCCCTAAACCCTAAACCCCCAAAACCCCCAAAACAACCCCAAACCCTAAACGGTGCTAGGATCCTCATCCTGAGATTGCCCTTTGTTCCGGGGGCCCCGGCCCGGTCGCCATGCGTTTTTTTGAGGCCTTCTCCTCTGGCGGTTTCCGCAATTCTTACGGGTTCTGATCATTAGGGTCCCCTAGCTTTAGGGTTTAGGGTTTAAGCTTTAGGGTAGTCGGGTTTAGGGTATTAGGGTCCCCTCTCCTGTGTGAAGCTCCCATAGGTTTATAAAGGGCGCAGGGAGTGATGCGCTCAGAGAAGCCAAGAAGAGCAACGGATTTCAGCCTTAAGCCTTTTAAGCATCCTCGAAAAGGGCGTTCAGCAAAACGTGCCTAAGTTCAACTACGGGCCTTGAGCAACAAAAGCAATAGCACAATTCAAGTCCTAAATCCGAAACACAAATTCTTCAGCCTATCCCTGGCCCACCAGGAGAACATAAATCTCTACGATGTCTCGGTGGCTTCAGAAGGGCGTCGGCTGTCTGGCCCCTTGACGTCAGGGATTAGGGTTTTAATTGGGTTTAGGGCTGGGATTGTTTTTTGGAGTTGTGTTTGTTGCTGCTGCTGCTGCTGCTTCTGCTGGTGTGCGCTGACCTCCGTGCTTCTGAGATCAGAAAGATCCTGGATCTCAATGTTGACGTTTGTTTTGAATCTACCCGCTTGCATACCACCATGCGGACGAGCACGATCTCTTGCATTTTCGTTCAGCACAACCCCTGTGCTACTGTAGTGAATTTTAAAAAGACACAAGCTGTCAGGTATTCCTTGTGTGCAGCTGTGCCTATCTTTCTTAAGTCGCTCTTGGCCTTCACGGTTGACTGAGGAGCAGTCACCATCGGCTATGATCTCCTGGTTTCTGCTACTTCGGCATCATCCTCAGTTTCTTAGACCACGAGCCATGGCATAGTGACCGCTGTGCCCGTGAAGGGGCTCACCACAAGTCTTCACGTTGAGCGCCAGGGTCTTCCCAAATTCTAGCAGGAAGTGCAGGATGGGGGCAGCGCGAAGCATAGAACTGAACCAAGAGATATCCTGCAAGCACTTCAGTTTGCACGCCTACACCCTGAACCCTAAATCCCTGTGTCAATCGGCCGTCGTTGCAGTGAATCCCCAAACTAGGCACACGATTGTCATCGAACAGGAACCCTGCCTGATCGATCTACAGCTTTCATTAGACATCTAGTACGTTAAAGCTTAGCTTGCAGACTGGGTTTTTGAAGCTGTTGTTTGCAAGCTCGTTGGTGTCATCCCCCAATCAGACCATCACGAAGAGTGTGAGCTCCGAAATCCTTGAACCCTAAACCCCAAACTCCCTAAACCCTAAACTCTAAATCCTAAACCCTCAACCCTAAATCCTAAACCAATCCGTTCTGCCACACCTGGCAACCCGACGCTGCCCTGCCGCAGGGAGTCGACCACGAGCATCTCGGCCAGAGAGATGTGTTTAACAAGCACTGCGGTGCTGTTGATGAAAAAGTAGCAGTAGTAGTAGTAGTAGTAGTAGTAGTAGAACTAGTCGTGGTGGTGGTGGTGGGGGTGGGGGTGGGGGTGGGGATGGCGTTGGTGGTGGTTCTGTTGTTGCTGTTTTTGCTGGCTTTGGTGATGATCGCCTCTGCCATCACTCGGTTATAGGTGTTTGTTCTCCGGATGTTTTGTTCAGGCTCTCGATGTTGCTGTCATTGTTTGCTTGCCCGGCAGAAGCCATCACTGGCAAGAGGTTGACGTTTGCATGGATGGATGTATCGGTTTCCTGCACAGGATCGGTTTGCATGCCCATGTATGCACTCCTCAATACCGAGTGCCCTTGTCCCGACCCCAAGCCACCTAGCAGCTAGCAAGCAATTGGTATCAATGAATTGTCGGATAGTTAACCCTAAACTAAACCCTAAACCCTCTTGAGCACCTCTACCCTGCAATGCGGGCTCGTCCTTGCTATGTGGGAGGGAAGAAAGTACTGCTGTACTTCCAGTTAGGTGGGTCGGCACTTGCAATGCACGAGCTCCTGTCGCAATGTGGGTAGATCTCCTGTTCCTCAAAGGGAGGGAAAGAATGATAAAGACGTGTCTTCAAAAGCCACCTGCCATTAGGCACCCAGTCGGGCCAGAACGCAGGCCCGCAGACAGCTAGTCCACGTTTTTTTAGGTAAGAACACCATGGCAACAACAAGAACAGCAATAACACTGCTACTACTCCTGCTGCTGCTGCTGCTGCTGCTGCTGCTGCTACCTGCTGCTACTGCTGCTACTGCTGCTGCTGCTGCTACTACTACTACTACTACCACTACTACTACTACTACTACTACTACTACTACTACTACTCCTGCACACTACTACTACCACCACTACTACGACGTCGACTACGACTAGAACTACAACTACGACTACTGTGTAGCTATCAGGATCATGACTGCAGCTGACTCAGACGGCCGAAGGTCAATCTCCAGTAGTTCCGGCACCCTTGCCACCAACGTCAACCAGGAACGGGACAAGAGCTGAGGGTCTGATCTTCAAAAGGCTCTTGCTCCGAAAGAGTGTGGGATTCATCGTGCTGATGTTGCTGTGGACCTGATCAGAGGCACAAGGCAACTCTCAACGGTTGGAAGCTTTGGGTAGATGGTCCCTCCCTCGTACCTCTCGCTTGACTCCTGGAGGAGCTCGCCAACCGAGGAGTCGCAGTGGTCGTCACAAGCATCCAGAATGCCAGCTTCTGCAATTCATTCCGTGGGGAAGTAGAATCTCTAGGCAGCCTCAGACTGTGTCGTAAATCCGCACGGCTGACATGAGATGAGGCTCCGAATTCGAAAAAACCGGAAAGTAAGGTCCGTTGTGCTATGTAATACTCACTACATGCATGTAGGTCACCATCTCAAACCGCAGGCTTTGTGAGCCCCCACCAGATTCGGGTCGATCCAAAGGTGAAGATGACGACGACAACAACTACGAATACGTGCCCTGACTGAGACGCATGTTCTATCCATTTTCTAAGAGTCGCCTTTAGCCTCACCAGCCCAGGGTTCAGGGCAGAGGGCTTCAGCCTTGCCAGAGGGGCATTTTGAGGGCGACGGAAGACTCATTGATTCTACGGGCAAAGTTGTGCTACACAGGAAGACGACCCTCACCGTGACGACATCGCTGACGACCAGAACTACGACGGCCTCCACCACTTCCCAGACCGTCACCACGACCAACACTCCGGCGATTGGGTTGCGCTTAGTTTCAGAAGGTTCGATCAGCGCAGGCTGCAGCCGTGTGCAAAACATCACGAACCCTCGTAAGTTGCCCGGTTCCCACTGTTCGTAGTCTGTTGAGTCATAGCCTATTCAAGGCATCCCATGAGCAGCCTCAAACTGACCCAGCTACGGCCATGCGGCCGTGCAATGAGTACTTCCAGAGAATCAAGGACCTTGCAAAAGACTCAGTATTCTCAGGCTCAGGACCCCTGAATAAGAGACGTCTTATTCTCATGTCAAGAAGCCCTCTGAACCCTAAACCCGATAAGCTCTGAGGTCGACTGCGTGCTTGCCGACTGGTCAGACTGGGGAAAGTGCGACCGCCCCTGCAACGGCGGCAACCGCACGCGTGAGCGCCAGGTCGCGGTGGCGGACCAGTTTGGTGGCCAAGCATCTCGAAGTTGGAGAATGGTTTAGGGATGTTTAAGGTTTAGGGATTAGGGTTTAGGAGGGTTTAGGGTTTAGGGGTGTTGGTTTTTTTGGTTCGTAAGAAGAGGGTTTGAGAGTAGAATGTGGTTTCTGGGAATCGGATCTGAGACTTGTGCTCACAAGCTTGACGAGAGCGAGGTTTATGGTTTGCCCGGGTTCGAAAGGTCAGAGCTTACAGGCTTTGGAAGCTGCTATCCCGGATACATAAAGCCTAGACAAACAAAGAGAAACTGCTAGACTCACGAGCTTCTGGACGAGCTCAGGCATGCTCCGGGGAGGTGCTCCAGATGGAAGTTTGCAATACGAACGCTTGCTACTCGGTCACCGGTTTACAGAAGCCAAGGGCAAACCCCTTCAGTGGAGACGGTGGAGGGGATTTCAGGCCCCGCCCATAAGCACCTAAGCCCTGAGCCAAATCCCTCGCCCTTTCAGTTCCTGTTAGTGTTACTTAGGCTCCGACTGCCTCGGGGGCTTCTACCTTGTCTTCCTTTCCGATACCGCCACAAACTGCAGTGCCTGCGAGCGTGGAAGATACGAGGTGACACTTTGGGATACTTTTGGATTTGACTATAAGTATGTTCTTGCTTTCCATCAAATGCCATGAATCATTTTGTGGGGTCCCTCCCTAGACTACAGCCCAGGATACAATCCTGACCCAGGAGCGACTGGACCCGAGGCTTGCACACCTTGCTTGAGCCTGAGATCTGATCTAGCATTGATGCTTTATTCGGTGCGGGTTAGGGTATGGGGTCTAGACGTGCATAGGCCAATTCTTCATGAGCTGTAGACCTTGTGCCTGAAGACTTGGAGACCGTAGATCAAATCGACATGTTCGCGCCGTAAGCTCTTGCCTGCAGAACGGCATAACAGCATATCAGTGAGCATAGCCTGAACCCCAACCCCACCTAAGAGTGGAAATCCGTACCCTAAACCTCCAAGTTCCAAAGAAGCCCTAAGGGATGGGTAAAACAAAGGCCCTAGACCGGACCCCTAAAACCCGAAACCCCGACTGTCCGAGTGTGAGCACTGGGTTCTTGTTGGGGGGGGATTAAATTTAAGCCACCATAATAAGGAAACCATATTATTTGCTACAGATCCCCATTATGGTAGCTTAAATAAGAATCCCTTAACATGAACCCAGAGCACCTAAGCCCAACACCCAAGGATGGGTGAGCGAAGTGGGGAAGGCGCCTCTTTCTGCGAGCCCTGCGCCGAAGGCTCAGCGGCTGCCCCTATTCTCAGCCGAAGCGTCGCCAGCCCCTTTGTTCCCTTCGGCGGTTTCTTAGAGTTTACAACCCTAAACCCTAAACCCGAATATAGGCCCTAAACCCCAAACCCTAAACCCAAATAGAGGGCTTTAACAAAATGGTTCTAGAGGGGCTCTCAAGGGTCCGAGAACGGGTTAGAGGCTTAGGGCTTAGCGTTGCGGGCTTTTGGGTTAGTAAGAGGGGGTTTCGGGGCTCTTAGGGTTTAGGGCTCTTAGGGTTTAGGGCTGTAGAAGTTAAACAGACCCTTCGAGGGTTTTGCGGTTCAAGGTCATTCCTTCGAGACATTGTAGAGGGGGCAGGTAGCGGAAAAACTTTGCTGGCATCTGCGAGGGGCCGCAGAACCAAACCACAGGCCCAAGCGATTCAGGGTATTGTCCAGTATTGTGGTATAAAATTACGTATCAGGATCCATTCTACTGTTATGAGTGTCAGTCTTAGTTCGTATATTTAGAATCACTGTTAAAGAAGCAGCCAAGCCAGGTAGCTTGGGCCACTTATCAGGGAATTTCATCCCTGGTCCCCTTGGAGAAGCGGAGCTTTCCTGCGCGGGCACCTGCTCTGGCATCCTCTCCTTCAAAGCCGCCTGTGCTTCGCAGAGGTTGCTTGGATCCCAATTTAACTGCGCATGAGTCGCTTCTTGCTGCCAAAAGTACTTGCTTCTAGGTGAGCGGTGGCTCCCAGCGTCAGTATCGAAGAGAGAGCGCCCAAGGTTGGTCCAATTTTCAGCCGAAGCCCGCTCGCCGATTGGCCAGCCTGCCCTTCTTGAGCTTACGGTCAGTGGTGGTGCGCCGGTTGGCTGGAGCACACCCGGCACCACCACCTGGCAAGAGACGGGCTTGTCGGCCTCGGTGCTTCTGCCTTCAGAGGAGCAGACCACCATTCGTCTTTGGGCCTCGCAGGAAGCTCGGCCTGCAGAAGGCTGCGGAAATCCTTCGCACAGCCTAGCAGGGCCTAGCAGAGTCTAAGGTCTGAGGTTCTGCTTTTCGCTTGTAGGTTTCGCGCAAAGAATAGTCGCATCCCCCGCTGGCGAATGAAGCCAAGGATGGTTTGGCCATCCGATCTCTAACGATGCACTACCTAAGCATCTGGGTTTCGCACTGGCATGCCTTCTTCTGATGTCGCTGCGGTAGTAGTAAGACGCCCCTCCCTACACGGAGCGGCTACGATCAAACACAGCAGAGAGTGATTGTCCTGATGAAAAGCCTGATTTGCTTCACTATATATTCATATTCCTGCTCATCTTATACCCAGCCGCTGGTTGTTTCGGAGACCCGATAAGTCTACAGCCTAAAGCCAGAGATTTCCGATCGCAGGCGCTGGAGGCGAGTGTGGTTTCTTCACGGCAGTTCAAACTTGGACCTGCAGTCTCTGCGCCACTGGGAGCTACGCCAACACCACAGGGGCGATGCTTGGCTACTGTAGGAACCCGAAGCAAGAGGCGTTTTTCCGAACTACTCCCCCAGTCTTGAAACCCGGAAAACCCACAGGTGAGCCTGCCTACCCATAGGCTCCTAAGTACCTTATAGGATTCTAAATATAAACCATAACAAGGAAGTACTTAGGGGCCTATTATGGGTAGAGAGTCTTCGATAACGTAGTACCCAGTAGTCTCTTCAGAGCTTGCCTGGCATAGTTCCGGAGTGAGCATCAAGAAAACCCACGGCCACAGTTTATTCAGAGTTTACCCTAAGCCCTATATAAGCCCTAAACTGCAGTATTTTTGTGTGTGTGTGTGCGCGCGTCGTGTACCGTTTTTTCTAAGCGACAGAGCCGTCATGCGGAGTTTACCTGGGCTCAGGCCTTCAGTTTACAAGTCTTTCTGAGTGTCTTGAAAGTTATGAGAAACAAAGCCGAACAAAGGTTTCGAGGGTTTAGAGGATTATGAGGAGTTACATAAGTCGTGTTCACTTAGTACTCGCGTTTTGTCCTTGCAAGATGGTCTAGCAGAGAGGTAGGCGATACTGGCATGGCAGCAGATTCGTTGTGCAGTCTGCATCAGTCGCTGCCACAAGACCCCCAAACTCCAAACACTGCAGCTCGAAGCCTGCAGTGAAGCCTGCCTGAAAGGACAGCGTGCCGAGGGTGCCATGCTGGCAGTTATGCGGACAGCGCTGGGATGTCTGCGTGTTCCCGCTGCAAGCCTGGCACCTCCAGCGGCTTGGTTTAGCATTTGTGGGGCAGGCGGTCGGCTTTGTAGCCTTGCAAGAGATGGAGAGAGATCTTCCCGGAAGGAAGAACACGACCTTTGAAAAAAGATGTCAAACGGATAGACATGAAATGGGCGTAGCAAAAGTGTCGTGTTGGCATTGACAGATTCGGGCATGTATGGCCGTCTGACGCCGAGTCGTTGGCACGTTCGATCTATTTGGCCAAGACTCGCATCGAAGCTCTTGCGTTCGCACTGAGAGCAGTTGAGTTGGGTAAGTCTCCCCACGATCATGCTGACTGTTACGAGAAGGGAAGCTATAGCACTTCCAGCCTCCCCCGACTGATATTCTTCTCAGTGGTCCATGCATCCCCCAACAAAAACTCTGCGCCTAAACCCTAAACCCCTAAATTCCCTAAATCTCGAAGCCCTAAACCCCCTACTGTAAACCCCCAAACCCCTCAACCCCTCAACCCCTGAACCCCTGCTTGCGCGAGTGTGAGAGTCGAAACCCCTAAACCCCTATAAACCCTTATATAAACCCCCAAACCCCTAAACCCCTGAACCCCTAAACCGCTGAGGCAATGCTTCCGGGGCCACGGACCTGACGACCTGCGAGCCTTGCGGCCCGGGCAAGTACAGCAACAGCAGTGGCTCCAGCGCCTGCGAGGAGGGGTCTTAGGAGGGTCTCTTTAAAGGGAGTCTAGAGTATTTAGGGTTCAGGATTTAGGGTTCAGGGTTTAGGGTTTAGGGTTCTGGCCGGGCGAGCTCAGTTCAAGCCTGTGGAAAAAGGGTTTAGGGTGCAGGGTTTAGGTTCTGCAGGGTGTAGGATTTAGGGTTTAGGGTTCAGGGTTCGACGATGAGGATTGGGGAGTTTAACGGTTTCAGTTTTGTGGGTTTGGAGGAGAAAGGATGTAGGTGATTGAGGGCCTGTCCATTGCTCTGGAGGACTGCGAGACCGGGAGGTATCACACGCAAACCTATGCCAGCAGCAGCGGAGGGCTCAGAGAGCCGCGTTGTCCTTGCAATCTTGTACTTACCATAAACACCCAAAATATCCTAAACCCTAAACCCTGAACCCTGCTCGCAGTAGCAAGCGCGGACCTTCACCAGCCATGCCAGCCTTGTGCGAGTGTGTGAGTCGAAACCCTGCTCGCAACTCGTAAGCCATGAACCCTGAACATCAACCCGAAACACCACAAAACCGAGGTGAGGTTTGCTTGGCGTGCAACCCTGGACAAAGCAGTTTACCTGGATCGAGTAGCTGTCAGAACTGCTCCGCAGGACACGGGGGGAACCCGTTCGCAATAGGACCTCTTATGAGGGCTTAGGGTTCCAAGAACAGCTCCGAATGCGTGGACAAGGGTCTAGGGTAGAGGAGTTACAGAGGTAAGTGGGAACAGTATGCCGAAGTCTTGATGCTGCGTTAGCATGCCCAGATACCCAGAGGGCTCCCTATGCCTTCGACTCACGTAGTATGCTACGGGGGGTGAGCGCTGCAAAGGAGTCCTTCTTATAGCTACAGCATCGGGGCACACTGTGTCACGGCCACTTGCGGGGACCACTTAACCCCAGCCCTCCGGAGTTGGGAGTTCCCGAAACCTGAACCCCTCAAGAATGGAGAGTTCCCGAAATGAGGCTTGACGTCAGGATTTCGTTTGCCGTGCCCCCCAAAAGGACGCCACTCCACCCGATAGCGATACGAATTAAGGAAACCCCCCCCATGCTCCTGGTGGCAGTGTAGACTTCAAGTGGTCGATAGTTTGGGGCTCTTCTGGACGGTTTAGGGTTTAGGCTATCGGGGTTCCATTGAGAGCAAAACCCGAAGCCCGATCTACGGGACAGGACGCTTTGCGGCACTTGCTGGGGAGAACTGCAGCCTTTGTGACCCTGGATTTTTTGCCGAAACTTCCGGGTCTACTGCCTGCAACTTGGCTTCAATCCGGGCGTCGAGGTCCTGTGTGACCTGAAATCGGCTTAAGAGAAAAAAAGGCGGAGCAGAAAGCACGGTCAACCCCGAACCCTCGAACCCTTGCCCCTTAAACTCTGAAACTGTGCTTTTCTTGGGCGCCAGAAGGATGTGAACGCTTTAAGGCTGTGGGTCCTTTCCTGAGGAGTCTGCTAGAACTGCTGGGTGCATAAATTCTGTGACTAGCTATCTGAATAGGTGCGTCGATGGGGTCGAAAGCTGACTCCGAAGGCCCTGAGTTTGATCTGAATGAAGGTCTCGCTCCGAGCAGAGTGTCGTGTGCACTGCATTGAGTGAGGATTGGATATCTATCAGTTTGCTTCGTGCGTGTTTTTTGTTGCTGGCCGAAGAGTGGGTGCTGCGATGCCTCCGGGGACGAAGGGTCTCAAACGATGTGAACATCGAACGGAAGGCGTGAAGGGTTGTTGCTAGGTTCGCTGCTGTGTGGGTAGTTCTCTAAGTTAGGTTCCCCTTTGGGTGTCCTTTTTCTAAGGGTGCCGTGCTACTATATTGAGGACCGAAAAAGGACCCTACTATAGAGAACTACCCATGTGGTAGTTTGGTTTGGCGGATGCTTTACCGTTGGGTAGCAGGCTTCGGTCAGGGCTGTGCGAACATGAGACAGCTGAGATGGTAGGCTGTTCGGAAGTTTCTTCTTTCTGAAGAGTCTGCAGCGGATACATGCCTCGATTTGCTGGAAATGTAGGCGGCCACTTTTTGCCTGGCCGTAGGTTGATGCTCCGTAGGGTGGGGCGTTGTTGTGTGCCTTCTCCGGGTTAGGAACTGGGTCATGGGTCTATGTCTATGATGGTTGGTATAAGATGATGGAGTTGGAGAATAGTTAACACCTCCCACAAGCCTATGCCATCCCGGCGTTCCAACCAACAGCCTGCTGTAGGGACGAAACAGGGGCCTCCAAAAAAAGACAAATAAACTCTGAAACCGAAGTCCCCAATTTGACACACGCAGTCGGAGATAGGTCCCCTGAGAACAGGCGCAGACAGACACAGACACAGACACACAGACAGACAATATATAAATGCGCGCATACGAACAAGCACAAACGCAGCACCCCTTAACAACACAGCTTGTGCCGTGCAAGAAGATGCGCATATGTGCAAGAACGCATAAATTTGCATATATGATGTTGACCTGCCATTGTTTCGTCTACTGTATCTATCTATCTATCCATCAGCTATCGCTATCTCAGACACCGACAGACAGGCATATGTGTAGGCAGAGACAGACCGATGTGGATTCAGGTCTGCCCTGCGAGCAGGGGTGTTGGGCAGCAAGCGGCGCAGCCCTTTGCGAAGACTGCGAGGCTGGCCACAGCGGTTTATTGAACGCCCAGTTGGATTTCTGTAGGATAGGCTGGATTAGATGGTTCTAAGGCTTTCCGCAATTTCAGTTACGGGGGTTCTGAGATGTTCTGAGGGTTGTCGGGGCAATGGGAAGTTCAGGAGGTGAATCGAAAAGAACCCAACAGGACTTTTGGCTTCGGCCCGCTGTTGCACCGACTTGCCAGTTTCCTTTCGTGAGGGACATCGGGTGTGGAAGTGCAATCAGCGCGACTTCGCGATCCAAGACCAACCTTCAGACTGTCACAGTCACAGCTGCGAGATATGAAACGCCCCTCGCCCTAAGCCTCAGGCTTGTCCTAACCCAATCGGTTCTGTGAGGAAAGCAACCGAGGATCCTACGAATGGGTTTGCTCGCGCGACCGCTTGATAGGAGCTCCTGTCACGGTTTAGTTTGAGTTGAAGTAGTTCGAAGATTTCAGGGTTGAGGGCATTAAGGATACTTGTGCAGACTCCACGGTGAACTATAAAGCTCGACTAGGACCCTAAACCCCTCAACCCCTCAACCCTAAAAACCCCCAAGTGTGCTGTGTCCTGAACTGGAGAGGCTGGCCGTTTCTCATCGTTACTGGGAGCAGCATCACCGGAGAATTGTACCTTGTGCTCAGGCTGCAAGGCAGTGGTTCGGGTTTACAGGACGTCGTTGGCTTTTGGACGGCTTTTGGTGGCTCGATTCAGGGGGCTTTCCCGGATATAACACGGAATCATCCACCCAACTTCTGCATTTCGAGCTTGCTTCGCTTCGTGGGCTCACTTTTTTATCGAAGGAGTTACTGTACTTTCAACAAGCAGAACCCACATTTAAGAAAGGGCCCTTTACGCCTAGACCCTAATTAGATCGGGGTTGAGCGCCGAAATCGGGTTCTGGATCCTCCAGGCCTCTTGCACCCAAGAACCCTACATGCTTCGTCTCTTGATGTTTGTGCGAAAAGTAGGCCGGGAATTTTTTTTTTTGGGACTGGACGTATGCAAGCTCTTACACGACTTTACGCAGCCGGAACTGGCTTCCAAGCACCCGAAACCCACCTGGCAACCCAGCGCTCTACATGCAGGTGCCCTGCAGGCACCTTTGGGACTGCTTATGGTGCCGACTCGGATGATGCTTGCAGAGGTTGCGGCCCTGGCAATTTTAGCGGTGAGGGGTGGACATTTTGCGCCCCTCAGCTGCAGCTAAAATTTATTCGTTTTTCATTGGCTCACCATTATATCGGAACACGGGTTTACAAGTCTTGCGGTGCCTGGACAAAATAGAATAATGTTATATTGTCATAGTACAGCTTTACAGGGGCTATAAGGGCATATGGGTTGCATTACCCATTTTCACAGTTTACATAAAGGCTTTCAGCCGCATCTGTGAATCATAACCAGACAGAGCTCATGTTTCAGAGCCAGACCTAGTTGTGGTGGAGGTATCTTAAGGCTATCGCCAAATCACCGTTCCCGGAGTTCGGAGTTTCAGTCGGAATCGCACGCAGCCATGGTGAAAATCCGATTCCGTGTGAACCCAGGAGACGTGTCCATTGGGAACCATCAGCACTGGGAATGCGTCTTCATGCGCTGCTCGACATGGGAAAGCCGAGCATGTTCATTGTTGCGAACCATGCCGTAATCCCTGACTGCGAGCTCCATAAGACTTTGGCTATCTAGCTCATGTCACCTTCTGCGACAAGTCCTGGTGGTTTGACGAGTCATGTTTAAGCCTTTGTTACGGCAGGGAGCTGTTTCGGTCAAGGGAACAGCAATGAACGACGGCAATAATAGTGACGACCATACTACTTATGACTCTTCGTAACATCGAATGTTGCGAATATCATCGAACATCAATAGCAAGAGCAGTGCGTTGTACTGGCACAAACACGGATCATGTTGCTGACTTTGGAAGAGGTTTGGGTATTGCTAAAACTCACGACTGTAGAAATAGTAGTTGATAATGATCACTCCCACTCCTCATCATCATCGTCCTCATCATCACCACCATGTCAAGAAATGTTGTCTCAACCTGGACCATTCTCAATCCAAGATAAGGCACAAAGATCCACAAAAAACACACCTGGAGCCCTACTAGACACTGCGATTTAGGGTTCTGGCTCGCAACATGCCAGAAGCCCCAGGATTTCTGCACAGCCGGTCGCATCGCCGAGTCCCCTGGGCTGGACGTTTGCAGCCCCTGCACTGCTGGCCGCTATGGGCTATTTGTCTACGATTGGGGTTAGGATTAGGGAGAGTGTCTAGAAGGGTTTCAAGGGAATTTGGGGTTATAGTACGGTTATGCGGTTCACAGGGGCTTTAGGGGCAGGGGGTTTGGGTGAATGTCAAGGGCTGTTCCCACAAGAGTAGAAGAAGTACACTCCGTGGCCATGTCAGTGCTCCAAAAGCCTTGTTTAGGGTTTTGGGTTTAGGGTTTTGGGTTTAGGGTTTAGGGTTGCACCACGGCCATTTTGTTGCCATCGTCGTTGCCCTCACGACCGTTGCAACTGCTTTTCCTCCTCCCTGCTGCTGGTGGTGCTGTCGTTGCTGCTGCTGTTGCTGTTGTTACTTGTGGTGATTAGTGGGGTACCTCAAGACTGACAGACGTCGAGGTTCAATACTTCCACGTGCGTCGACTGTGGGCCAGGTCGATACAGCCAGGACAGGCAAAAATGGAGGGATATGAACCCCTACCCTACTTTCCTGCCGCGTTCGGTCTTTATTGGGGCCCCTTGTTGTTTGTATCTACTTTTCCACTTTCGGTCTTTCTCATGGTTCGCTGTACTTTGAATCTCCGATATAGCTTCAAAAAGGGCGAAAGGCCATTCAGTAGAGAGGTTTAGAGTGACGCCCGACAGCCCTCTGGGCTATCTTCCGAAGTCTTCCGAACCGCCCTTAGTCCCAGAGCCCCAGGGCGGCACAATCTGCGGTGATGCAGCAGCCCCTAAAGCCCAAAATTCGTTGTGGAGCCGATGCTAACTTGCTCAGAACCGAACCGACCGAAATGAGAGATAGGCCTTGGCCTTGAGCCCCAGAAGTCCCCCAAAAAACTGAAGCAGAAGATGCCGACACTACCCCTAGGCTCCATAGTAGTTCCTTTCTTGTGGTTTATATTTAGGTTTCCTATTAAGGTAATCCCAAAAAGGAACTACTCTTGAGCCTATGGGTAGTGATAATCTGTGATACCGATGAATGCTACTAGTCATGCTGCCTTCCAACCGTCGACAGTAGCTGGAAGAAGACGATGCTGTTACCCTGCCAGGAGCTGGGAGCAGAGGGCAGCGAATCCTGTTTGGCTTGTCCTGCAGGCAGGCCACGGAGATGGGGATTTGATGCTACGGGTCTACCTAAAGCCTACATCCTAATCCCTATAAGCCCTACAACCCGAATCCCTACATCCTAAACCGTAAGTCCTAAACCCGAAACAACATGAATCCTGAACCCTAAGCCCTAAAACCCTAAACCCTACATCCTGAGCCCTAAATAAGCCCGAAACCCTATGAATCCTGAACCCGAAGGCCCTCGGCCGCTGCACCCTGCACCCTGAAACTAAAGGCCCTTTCCGTGAACTGTTGTGGCAGAGGGAAGATACTATAGGGGCCTAAAAAATGTCCCAATACTATTTCGGGGGGGGGGGGGGGGGGNNCCTTATTATAATTATGGTATAATTTATCGGTATACTCTATATATATATATATAGACACACATATACATACATGCTTCCTAATGCCCCCAAATTATATCGATCGTCTTTGCGCCTCGCTTGCGGGGAAGTCCTGGACCAAGGACGAGCTTCTGCTGCCTATGGTGCCGACTCGCCTTTACGCTGTGCGCCCTGCGTGCTCCTTTCATGCAAGTGTGTGAGCTCTTCGGTTTCCCGGGGTTTTTATTGGTCATTTTATTGCCGTACTGCTTTTGAGCCACGAGCCCGACCTCCCACTAGCCTTTCCCAAGACCTCGGCAGAAGCTGCGGCCTCATGTTTTGTTTCAAGAGGTGTCGGGACCCTCCTGAATCCGATCGGAACACCAACCCTCAACCTTGGACAGGCCGGCTGTGGCTCAAGCCTTTCCTGGATCTACCGCCGTACAGGTATTCCTCAGATGGCGGCCACGGCTTGCTTCTTGACAATGCTGATCCTTCCCTTGACTGCAGCAGCTACGGCATCAAGTGGCTCTAGCGACTATAGCGTCTTTGTCGTGGAGCGCCCCATCCCAGGTTAATGCACGCAGGTCAGTGTGGAAGAGATAAGAGCTGTTGCGGCCTCCAACCTCAGGAGCAATGCCTCAGGCTGCAACTTTTGGGAGATCGCTGGCTGTTCGGTTGCTGCCGCTGCAGCCGGTCTTACTTGTGGGGGACCCTTGGAACCTGCAGACTATGCTTGAATAATGGCAGCGGTCAGCGTTATTCCAGGCTGCGGTTTGTGCCTTTGCAAGAGTGTTGGGTGTCCATCCTGGTGTCCCTGCGACGGCAACTCGCTCCAATCCGCGAACCACGGCGGCACCTTCCATGCTGGCACTTGCGCAGAAGAAGGCTATGACATCGTGGTCGGTAAGCGGATGTTCAACGTTACTTTCCCGGTAAAGGGTGAGAGCCTGATGACCACCTTCCAGCAGAAGCCAACTGAACTTGGATGAACGGACACCAAGGTGCAGAATGAAATCGAGACAGAGTTGGCTGTTGTGTATATGTAGGCTTATACCCTTAAGAGCCTATGGACCCTAAAGCCAAAACCCCTACGAACCTCGCCTGGCATGTCCGAGTTGTGAGAGCCTAAAGCCTAAACCCAAAACCCTAAACCGTGTTTCTCGCTTTGTTGGTTGACATCTCTCCGCCTGACACGTGCTCGGCTCGCAGGGTCTCACTTCCTGGTGAGACCCGGACAGCCCTTCGCCTGGAGAGTCTGTGTGCCGAACAGATGACCCCTCACCCCTTAAGCAATCCCCAAGAAACTCACCGCCCCAAAAATCCGATTGGAGCATCACTGTCACTATGGTTGTTGTTGATATTATTATCAAATTATCATCACTATTAAGTCCTCAAACTCAGCCCTGAGCTAGACCCTCAAACCCAAAACCCTTCTACACCGCCCAGACTCGACCACCAAACCCAAACCTTATTAAACCCCAAAATGGAGCCCCCCCTGGACTCTCTGCTACACTTATAAAAACCCGTATAGAACCCTTCAAAGGCACCCTTTCAAGCACACCCGAAGCCCCTAAACCCTATACTTGTTAGATCCTACAATAGGGGCCTTAATAATTAACTGTACTATTTTAGGGGTTACTTAGTATAACTATAGGCTAACATACCCCAAAACCCTGGCGCACGAAATCAAAGAGCCTCCCCAAAGAAAGAGGCGTGGCTCGGCAGCTTTGGACGGAGCAGCTGCCTGCAGCGCCTGGCTCAGCGTTTAGGGTTTGTTCGGGTTTAGTGCTTAGGCTGTGATTTAAGGAGCTGGCATGGGCACCAATGGGCATGTTTGGGAAGCGCGCTATGCTAGGCTAGGTGATTGGGGTCGTGGCTGCTTCAATCGGCCGAGATTTCATGCAGGCACCTGCCAGGCGGGCAGATACAGTGTGCAGACAGACGCTCGCACGCAAGTGATAGCTTCCGGTTGCAGCCAGGCCCTCCCCCGCCTTTCCCTGTCGACTCTACATCTAGTTTGACAGAGCTACAGCCCTACGCCAGCCCGGCCGAAGAAGCACCGTACCGAGTACCTGATCCTGAGGTAGTTTGAGCTGCTAATCTGGACCAGAGCCTTGCAACCTCAAGGCATTTGCTAAAGCAAGAGCCACGAAGGCCAAAACACTGTTTGGGGATCTACCCTATCATAGCCAGCAATGTCTTATTTCTTAGCACCTCAAAGCCCTTTCACTTCAAACTCTGAGCCCTGGTGAGGCCTAAAGCACCCCAAACTTTGTAAGTCGAACCCTGGAGGCCCCGAGCAGTTCTCTTGAACTGAAGTCTGGCCTGCATCGTGCGACTGTCGGAGTGGAAAAAAATACGAAGAACGCACTAAAGCTGACGAAGGACTGCTTGGCGTGCCCCTTGGGACGGTACATGCCATATGGGGGGCAGACAGAGTGTTTGCTATGTGCATCTTGGCTCCATGTGAGAATTTAGGCTTGAGGGATGTAGGATTTGGGGCATAGCGTGCATATCGGTCAGTAGAACCCTTACATCACTAACCCCCATGGTACCCGCAGTTTGTTTAAGAAATCTGCATGCTTGTTGACATTTGTTGACCATGTGGCTGCTGTAGCTACAGTAGTAGATATTGTGCTTTCTGCAGTGCTGTCTGGACCACCTGAATGCTTTTGTTGTTCAACTTTCGCTAAGTTTCGTTGTGCTGTTGAACACAACTTGGTGTGCAATCATGCATTGCCTGTATGTCCGTCCTTCTGTTTTCCGCTTGTGGAAAAAACTGTATGTATATACATATATATATAATATAATATATGTATAATATGTGTGTGTCTGTGTGTGTATGCATGTGTCTGTAAATAGGTTTACGGCTACATCCGCAAACTGCAAATATGTCACATGTTTGAGCGCCTGTGCCTGCCTGCGCATGCATCGGTTCCTGTGAGCATTCGCGCGTATGTCGCTCTAGTCTTTGGTCCATGCACTTGCGCTAAACCCTAAACTCTAAACCCCTAAACCCCTAAACCCTAAACCCTAAAGGTCCGGATTTCGAGTTTGAGGCTCGCCCTTGATCTAGAGCAACCATCAATGAGACGTACACCTCAGAGGCGAGAGAGATTGGCAGACATCCCTTCCTGTCTTTAAACCTTCCCAATTTAAAAAAAAACAAATAGGTGTAAATATAAATATAAATAAATAATCAAAAAAAGAAATGAATATATATATATATACATACACACATACATATACATATGTGTGCGTATGCATGTGTGTAACTGTATATACTTACACAGATATTTTTAATATATTACATATGCAGGCATATACACAGACATATGTATTTCTGCGTTTGCGTAGAATCACACCTATAAGAATGTACATGTGTGTTTATGTATGCACATCGTACAAGAACAGCAGAGCACTTTGGCAAAGGCTGTAAGCAAAGGTTGAGTGTCTACCCGAGGAGCCTGAACCGACGTGACGTCAGTGTTCATTGCAGTCAACGCTTTGTTGCTGGGAGTATGATCAGGTTCCACAGAGGTGATCGCTAGAAGACAGAGTGTCGTCTGTGATTCCACACAAAAACCACCTGCCGCTGACGCATTCATGCATACAGTGGCGCCTGTGGTGGGCATGCACACCTACAGGCATACATAAATACATAAATGCATGTATGCATGCATGCGTGCACGCATACAGACACATTGCAGGCCGGCATGTGCAGCCAGGCAAGAGGTGCTTACTTTTCATGCGCTGGCTATGTCTGCGCCTGTGCTCAGGAGAAGGGCACCTTCAACGATGACCTCAGTGTTCCGGCGACGAGTTGTAGCTCGGATGCAAAGCATTTAGTCCTAATTCTTGAGACCCCGGTACGACTGCTTTCGATGTTGCCTCGAAGGCAAGAGCTGTCCCATTGGCAAGTTTCTCAACCAAGAGGGCGGCACGGCCGCTGGGCTTCCATTTCTGGCAGGGAGATGGGTCCAGCAACCAATGTTTCGGAAGCCGCGATATTTAGGACAAGGCTGTCCGTTAGGCCTCCTTAATGCAATGCTACACTGCTATGTAGGCTCTTCCGATCATGAAAGGGCCCTATGTTGGGTTGGGGATAGCAACGTGAGGACGTCTGGGTGCAGGGTTTGAGATGTGGGGTTCATGGGAAGTGTCTGGTGGCTTCTGCGCTGTTGACTTCCATTGCAGCTGTCGCTATATGGACGTCTGATTATTCCTAGTACGTTTTTGATTCGTCACAGAGGATCGGTGTTTCCAGACACACCGATTTCTGCAAGACCCCTGCACTTCGCCTCAAAAACGGATCCTAAATAGTAGGATCCTTATGGTAAGGAGCCGAAAGAAGGATAGCAGGGCAGCCGTGTTTCCCTGACCCACCAGACCCAGACCTTTGAAGCTCCATCCACCTGCATTTCCTTCCTTCCTCAGCAGGATCGGATCTTGGGGTCCACTGGTTGGCATCCCTTGATGGTGCTGTTATACTTACACTCGAACCCGACTGTCACTTAGAGTAGACCACAAACCCCGACTCTGATTATGAAGGCCCCCATTGTAGAGTTCCGGAGCATCTCCTGAAGGCTGCCCTGGATGCAGAATATAAGCCCAAGAGGAGAAAGCGCAAGCCCCCAAATCCCAAGCCGCACGACTGACATAGAACCTTGAACAAATCGGAATAACAATAATAAGAATAATGGCAACAACAACACGAATACTGAGAATAGACTGCACTTCTTGGAAAGTTTCCTGTACTACAATATACCCCCCACACTGCTCGAATTGTGATAGGGGTACCTTCACTACAGCTCTAGAGTTGAGGTATGATTTTAGAATCGAGCCCCCTAGAGTGTACCTTATCCTACCAAAACCTACTTGCTTGTAGGGCACCTATAAATTCCATATTCGGGGCTTTGATAAGAACCTACAAACCAGTAGGTTATGGTCGTTTATACAGGTACCGTAAACTACCAAACCTTTTTTTGTAGGCTCCGATTATATACTCTAATATGGAATTTATAGGGACCCTACACAAAAGTAGGTTTTGGTAGTTTGAGGTAGGTTTTAGGGTACCGAAACATCTTGCCAGGCAGCATCGGATTGTGTGAGCTGCCCTGCGGGGACCTTCGGTGCAGATCCAGGGCGTTCCACCTGTGAGGTGGGTGCAGACATGTTTGCAAA